AATCATAAAGAAGTCAGTTAGTTTGAATTATATATCCAAGCATATCAACATATTAAATCTAATACACTTATAAATCATATTCACTATATCTAAAATATTATCATTTCAATATGTAATTAATATGAAAATTATTAATGGACTATTTTACATGTTTTTTTTACATGTTTACATCTTAATTTGGGTGCTAAATTTTCATTGAAAATACCCAATCTGTATTTAGACTTCATAAAATTTCCAGTAGGAAAATGTAGATTCACATACCTAAGTTGTTTCAAACATTTGTAAAAGTTTCCCCATAACTGAATTAAATATCAGTTTGTTTGTTTTTTTAGTTTTCTGTGGCCTATGCCAGTATTCATTCAATTCTTTCTTTTTCCATCATTATGGAGATGTAATTGACATCAAACATTGGCTAAGTTCTAAGTGTACACATATAAAGTGTTGATATGATACACTTGCATATTACAAAATGATTATCACCATAGCCACAGTGTTAGCTAACCCCTCCACGAAACGTCACATAATTACCATCTCTTTTTTTGTGGTGAGAACATTTATGATCTACTCTCCTTAGCAACTTTCAAGTGTTAATACAGTATTATTAACTACAATCACCATGCTGCCCATCAGATCCCTACGACTAATTCATCTTGTAACTGGAAGTTTGTACTCTTTGATCAACATCTCCCCCATTTCCTCCACCCTGCATATCAGTCTTTCAATTTCAATTTCCATTAATTAAAATCAGATAACATTAAAAACTTAGCTCTTTGGTGGCATGAGCAGCATTTCAAGTGCTCAGCAGCCACATAGAGCTAACAGCTCCTGGACTGTGACACAGCCCAGTTTTAGAATGATTAGGAGCTGCCCCACTGCCCACCTTCTACTCCCCTTGAGTTGGCCCTGGGCTGGACCGACAGGTGTGTCTGATCCAAGTTCACTGCACACATTCTGTAGTTTAACAGTTTAGCTACAGCCAAACTCCTAGGAGCCCAGCCTTCCCTGTCTTAGGCCTGGGTCACATTGAATCACAAGCCCAGGGTAGAAGACAGATGTTTTACCTGCTGTGGCTCATAGCTGGAGACCTCAGAAAGTAGCTAGAAGACTCAGCTATGTAATTCATGGCTGAATGGAACCAGATGGACCAGATGGGGCCATCTTGGTTTTCCTACATTGCAATTGCATGGATAGTCTTAGAAGAGCCTTTTCCTTTTTAAAACTCATTGCACATGGGATCCCTGGGTGGCGCAGCGGTTTGGCGCCTGCCTTTGGCCCAGGGCGCGATCCTGGAGACCCGGGATCGAATCCCACGTCGGGCTCCCAGTGCATGGAGCCTGCTTCTCCCTCTGCCTGTGTCTCTGCCTCTCTCTTTCTCTCTCTCTCTGTGTGACTATCATAAATAAATAAATTAAAAAAATAAAAAAATAAAAATAAAAAAAAATAAAACTCATTGTACTGAGATGGAAGGTTGATAATAGTCCTAGAGACTTTAAGCTACTCCTTAAAGTGGGAAAAAATTTAAAAATCAAATGCTGTCAGGATTGTCTATGGCATTGCTGCTTCCTAGTAAATGCATGTTGGTAAAGAAATCATTATTACTTCTAATAATAACAGAATATCCAATAATTGCTTTCTGAACTGGGGAAAAATGATTTTTGAAGTTAAAGTTGTTTTACATTTCTGCATATTGTATTTAAGGCAAAAGAAGTCCATCGTTACGTAAATTAGTGAGATTCCACAGTTTTTTATCTCTTTCCTCAAATCTCTTTTAGAAGTTACTATTTAGGGATGCCTGGGTGGCTCACTCGTTAGGGACTGGACTCTTGATCTCAGCTTAGGTCTTGATCTCAGGGTCATGAGTTCAAGCTCCAGTTTGGGCTCCACTGTGTGGAGCCTACTTGGAAAAAAAAAAAAAAAAGAAGAAGTTACTATTTAGGAAGGAACTAATTTCTTAAGTGTATATGAAAATAGTTGTAGGTGTGTATAAATAGATATGTGATTATATACATATATAAAAATATATATGTGAAGAATTTCTAAAGAATCTGTTTGTAAAACTCTAGAGTTTGACATCCCTTGAAAAAAAATCTTAAAATAAAAATAGTCATAAAATGCATGCTTTTTAACTAAATAAAATTTTTTATAATCATAGATGCATTATCTATATACATATACTATATATATATATATTTTTTTTTTTTTTTAAAGCGGGGAAGGGGGGGAACCTATTAAGATTGCCACAAGGTGGCACTAAAATCTAATGAACATTCCAGTCTCTGATCTTGTCTGAGAGCAGTTGAGGGGTGATTTACAGGATCTGTAGGAAACACTGGACAAAAACAAAACAAAACAAAACCCCAAATAAATTGAACTGAAGATTGGAGATAGAATAACATCTCCCTTTTGTCTGGGAGGTAATTTCTCTCTCTCACTGGTGCAGGTATCTGTCATACAGTGAGTCTGTATGTTAATAAAGGTAATTTTTCACAGTTTTTGTCATGGACCAATCCTTGCCCTGGCCTTTCTGTAGGCGTGTCCTGTGCGGGGAGGAGGGAGGCAGGGAGGAGCCTGCCTGGCACATCACCTAGTTTGGAAAAGTTTATCCTGTGAGTGGTGCAGTCTTCGGAGTGGTCCGTTGCCAAAGAGCCTGTCAACGTATCCCGGGCATAAAAATGAACGCCATGAAGAGAACTTGCTGCAGAACACGGATTTTTCTATTTGTTTACTTTGGCATATTTACCAACTGAGTATTTTTAGAAATTATTGCCATACTCAAGTTCAGGCTTGGAACACTCATATATTATGTCTGAGAATCAGGAAATGAGTGAATCGAATCCCTCTTCCTGATTCTTTGTATTTTGGTTTTTCAAAAAAGACATGGTACAAAGTTTTGTTTGATAATTTAATATTTGAAGCTTAAGGACACCACCAAGATTCCCAGGCTATATTAAGATAAAGGAAAGCCGTGCTAACAATACACCTATAAAAGGTTTTGACTAAAAGAAGAAAAATTTAGATAAGATTTTTTTTAATAGGCTAAAAAAAAAGAAGTTTCCAGACAGGAACCCTAAACCAATGATCAAAAACCCCTTCTTTTCTTCCATGGAAGCCCATTGTCGAAAAATCATTTACTTGTTGATCATTTAGTTCCTTAGATCTGAAAAAGAAAAACAGTGGAGCTTATATCCAGTGTGAGGGAAGCCCTTTTGGGCATTTCAATTTGTTCCCCACAGGACAGGCTCTAGGGATTAGGGCACTACTGTCTTACTTAATTTGATAGATCTTTGGTGTTCACGTAGAGACCCAGAACTCAACATGTAAATCATACGGGAAAACACCACAGCTTAGTTACAGCTGGCTCCATGGGCTTGGTTGGATGGTTATTAACAGAGAGCCTGGAACCTGAGGTAGGAGATGCCAGAAAGTTCTGAGTTCCTGAGCATTTAAGTGAAATTCTTCTCCACAGTCATTTACTGGATTCTTTCATAGGGGCAGCCATGTGCTAGGTCTTCAGGATGCTGAGGTTAAGACAAAATCTTGGCTCTCTACCAGCTTCCAGTCTTAGAGACAGAGGCAGAAATACGAAGCCTTAATTTCAACATGATGTGTGGGGCTCTCCTTTGCTAAAAACCCAATAAAACATCCCACTGTGTCTTGATGGACATGGCCCAATCTGTGTAGTTGGTATTTTAGCCCTCCATGATTGGCCTCAACCTGAATTTCAATTCTCTCTCTCTTTCCATCAAGTGCAGTCACGTCAACCTAGTCTCTGTTTTTAGAGTTTGTCTTATTGTTTCCCACAGTTCTGTTTTTTTTCAAGCTCTTCCTTCTTGGCACCAAGCCCTCTCCCTGTCCCCCTGCCTCCTTCTTCTGTCCTGTGAAATCCTTTGCCTTAGGTCCTTCTATACTAGACTCTGGGCTAGATGAGTCAAGCCCAGAAGAAGAACTAGCAGAAGAACTAGCAGAAGAACTAGCACCCCACCGGACACTGATGTGCTGTGTCCTCGCCTGCAAGTTCCCTGTCTGCCCCTCTCTCCCCGGCCTCAGGCCTCCTCCTCTTCTTGCCCAGTGGGCTGGGAGGCCGTTGATTTTATTGTGCTATTTACTTCAGCACAGTTCTCAGCCTGACTACCAGGATCCGAATTCATCATGCAAACCAGAAGCTGCCTTTCTCTGCCTGGTAACTTCCTCCAAGTGGACATCAAGTCCTGCAAGCAGCCCCAACCTCCCTTTTTCATGGTCCCCCCCCTTCCCAGATCTTCACCTGGAGATGGGGGGTGGAGGAGGAAGGGGGGCTGATAGGACTTGGGAAGAGCTGGAGGCCGGGCCCAGGCCCACTCTGGCCTCCGGGGTCCAAACCTGGAAGGGTACCGGCTGCAGTGGGGGGGGGGCGGGGGGTGGGGTGGGGGTAGGAGTTGGAAGCGGTGGCCTAGACGAGGGAAGGGGCCGCTTCTGAAAGCAGAGAACAAAACCTTCCTTGGAAACAAACGTGTAGTGTGTATGCGTGTGTGCGTGTGTTTATTTAAAAACAAACCCGCTTAAAGGAGCCGCTCCCTCCCCCACGGTCCGGCCGCCGCTGGGAGTTTGCACGGAAGCGGGACAATTCCGAGTGGGAGGGAGTCGCCAACGCCCCCCCCCCCCCCCCAGAGTGCTGCCTGTCTCGGAACCGCTCGCCCAGGCCCCGCGGGCTCCAGCCCCCCGCCCCTCCCCCCAGCTCGGGGCCCCGGCCCCGCGCGCAGAAAACGCGGCAAAAAGGGGCGAACGCGGCCGCTGCGGCCACAGCCCGCAGCGCCCGCGGAGGCGCAGACTCCCCAGTCGCCGCCTCTCCCAGCCCCGCGGCCTGGGCCGTCAATCAAGCTCGGAGGCCCCGCCCCTGGGCTGCAGCGGGCGGCCAATCAGAGCCGAGCTCCGCAGCGATGAGCTCAGCCGGCTCGCTTCCCATTGGCCGGCTATATTAAGAAAGTGGCCGAACTCTTTAAATAGCGGGCGCTAGGGCCGCAGCCCGCATCTGCCACCGCAGTCCGGCTGCAGGCGAGGCTCTCCGGCGCCGGGGCCGAGACCGAGACCGAGACCGAGACCGAGACCGAGACCGAGACCCAGAGGAGCCCGGGGAGGGACTCGACCGGCTCCGCCGCTCCGCCGCCGTCGGCGCACAAAGGCGCGGACCCCGGACCCCGGACCCCGGGCCCGGGGCGGGGAGAGCGGCCACCGCCCGGCGCGGCGCGGAGACGCACGGCGCGCCCTATGCCCGCGCGCCCCCGCCGCGGCAGCCCGAGCGCAGCGAGAGGTCGCGCCGCCGCGGGGCCCGGGTGCAGCCGCCGACGCTCGCCCGCAGCGCGCAGCCCGAGGTGAGCGGTGAGCGGTGAGCGGCGAGCGGCACGGCGGCGAGGCGTTCGCGGGCCCCCTCCTGCTGCCCGGGCCCGGCCCGCTCATGGCGGCCATCCGCAAGAAGCTGGTGGTGGTGGGCGACGGCGCGTGCGGCAAGACGTGCCTGCTGATCGTGTTCAGTAAGGACGAGTTCCCCGAGGTGTACGTGCCCACCGTCTTCGAGAACTATGTGGCCGACATCGAGGTGGACGGCAAGCAGGTGGAGCTGGCGCTCTGGGACACGGCGGGCCAGGAGGACTACGACCGCCTGCGGCCACTCTCCTACCCGGACACCGACGTGATCCTCATGTGCTTCTCCGTGGACAGCCCCGACTCGCTGGAGAACATCCCCGAGAAGTGGGTGCCCGAGGTGAAGCACTTCTGCCCCAACGTGCCCATCATCCTGGTGGCCAACAAGAAAGACCTGCGCAGCGACGAGCACGTCCGCACGGAGCTGGCGCGCATGAAGCAGGAACCGGTGCGCACGGATGACGGCCGCGCCATGGCCGTGCGCATCCAAGCCTACGACTACCTCGAGTGCTCGGCCAAGACCAAGGAGGGCGTGCGCGAGGTCTTCGAGACGGCCACGCGCGCCGCGCTGCAGAAGCGCTACGGCTCGCAGAACGGCTGCATCAACTGCTGCAAGGTGCTATGAGGGCCGCGCCCGCCCCCCTGCCCCTGCCCCTGCCGGCGCGGCGCCCCCTCTCGGGCCCGCCCCCCACCCCCCCCCCCCGCCCCCGCCGCCCGCCCTCCAGCCTCGAGCCCGAAGAAGGGGAGACCCGCGCCCTCCCCGAGGCCCCCGCCGGGCTGCCCGACGGCGGCTCGGGCCCGGCCCCGGCCCCGGGCGCCCCGTCTCCAGCGTCTCTGCGCGCCCGGCTGTGCTGCACAGGCCCGGGCGCCTGCTGAGCGCCAGGGGCCCCCTGAGCGCCCTTCCCCGAAGAGCCGAGCCTCTTCGGAGCGTGTGGCCGCGAGTGTGTTCGACTTCCCCGCCCCACGGCCGCCCGCCCCCGCCTCTGGTCCCCGGAGAAGAGCTTGGCGCCGGGGTGCAGCCGCGCCCCAGCAGATGCTCGCCCAGAAGCGGCGAGCGGCCGCTGTCCCTTGTGTGTAACATAGACCGCGGGAACTGCGGGGGGCGGGGGGCTGGGGAGGACGGGGCGTTCTATGAATATAGATATAATTTTATTTTCGAAGGTAGGATGGTGTTATTTAATGGTGGTGGTGGGTGGAGTGACAGGGCGCTAGAACAGCCCCGGCCCACCCTGGGGCGGGCGCCCATCCAAGCGTGAACAGGACTTGGCCATCTTTCCGACCCCTGGGAAAACCTTTGCGAGCGCCGTGGGGCTGCGAGGACACAGCTTCCAGACTCCGGCCTCCTGCGGGCCAGCCCCGCCCGGGGCGCACCCCTCACCAGCCCTGGGCCGGAGGAGGGAGAGAGCGCTTCGGGTCTTTTTTTTGCCATAAGCGAACTTTGTGCCTGTCATACAAGTGGAAATCGTTCAGTCCAAGAAACTGATGTTATTTGATTTATTTAAAAGCTAAAACTTGTTCGGGTTTTTTTTTGGAAAGAATTCTTTGCACAATTGTTTTATTGTTTGACACTTAATGCACTTGTCATTTGCATAAGAAAGTAGCGTTCTGACCACCCCTGTACGCTGTAACCTCATCTACTTCTGATGTTTTGTTTTGTTTTGTTTTAAAGATGATGATGACTTTTAAAAAACAAAGGAAAAAAGGAACCACTAATTTTTGTTTTCTTGAAAAAGTGGCAACACTGTTTTGCGATTTTATTTGTGCAGGTATGCGCACTATTTTGATAAAGGGCAGTAACAAGTATTGGGACCTATTTAACTCCCCCTTCCTTTTTTTTTTTTTTCTTCACAAGGCAGTCTCAAAAGCTATGTGAAATTTTCTCTGCATCTCTGTACAGAGAATGAACCTGCCCCTAGCCTCTCCTTTCTTACCCTCCCTTCCCCACCCAGTGGTACTTCTACTAAATTGTTGTCTTGTTTTTTTATTTTTTAAATAAACTGACAAATGACAAAGTGGTGAGCTTATGATGTTTACATAAAAGTTCTATAAGCTGTGTATACAGTTTTTTATGTAAAATATTAAAAGACTATGATGATGACATTTATAAAATGGCTTCTGTGATTTAATAGTGTGTAAGAATTCATCCTCTTGAATTTGGGGCAAGGGGTGACTATTGCTAGACAAGATACTCTCTGGCCACCACTCCCATTTCCCTGATAGCATTTGTGGTAAATGAGGCCAAAATCCCTTTGGGGGATGAGTGAGGGTTGGGTGGCCAGGGGAGACTAGTTACTCCCGTCCCCATCCCAGGGGTAGGTGACTGACTGGGGTGCCCAGCCACCCAGTGCCCAAGCCTTTGACTTAATGTGCACTGTCTGTATGTCTTAAAACACCGCGTCTAAATCTGTGGGGCCTTTGCCTCCTACTTCTTGAAACTTGAAAATTTTTAAAATTTTGCACTTTAAATTTAATTCACATTTTTTTCTTAATCACAGGTGTGGGGCGGAGCTCTCTGTCTAGGAGGCTGGTTATGGGGTTCCCTTCACATCATCAAAGGGTTCCACAGCACCTAATATAAGATTATAGGTGGTTGCTTTTGGGACTGGAGCTCTGGGGTGGAAGTTGGGGGAGAGCAGCAATCATGACGGGATTCTTCAATCGTTGAACTTTGATCCGCGTGTATATCTACACAGAACCTAGAATGCTGTACTCTAAGTTCAGAGAATGGCCACATCATGGACGGAACACTGGATGTTTGGGTTGGCTGTTATTTAAGGTTAGGGCAGCCACATTTTGAGATTTGATCAAGATGAGCTCCAATTTCAGACACCTAGCCAGCTGCAGGGGGTCTCAGAACCAGTGGGGCAGGGCAGTTATATTTGGAGGCCACAGGAGAATCCTGCTCTGGGCATGATGGCTCAAACCTGCCAACTCTCAGCAGCTGCCAGGGAAAGTGGCTCCCCTCCCCATCTACCTAAGAGGTGTGGTTTTGTTTTTGAAATCAGCACTTTCTGGCTTTCTTGCACTTAGCTGCTACTTCTCCCTATCTCCCTCTCCACTCAGGGCAGAGACCCAGAAGTTTCTTTTTGAAGTCATTTTCTTCTCCTTCTCCTCCTCCTCCTCCTCCTCCTCCTCTTCTTCTTCTTCTTTTTTTTAATTCATGAGCGACACAGAGAAAGGCAGAGACACAGGCTCCCTGCAGGGAGCCTGATGTGGGTGGGGCTCCATCCCAGGACCCTGGGATCATGCCCTGAGCCGAAGGCAGATGCTCATCACTGAGCCACCCAAGCGTCCCTGAAGTCATTTGCTTTAAAGCTTGGGGCTTCTATTCCCTGTTTCTCCCCAGACTCCCAAGGGCTTTTGTTGTGTGAGGCAAACCTGGTTGCCGGTGGCCTTTCACCCACTGAAACCTGGCCAGAACAGGGCCTCCTGCGCAGCCAGGCCCATCAGCCAACAGACAGGAATTGTCTGGGCTTCTCCCAAGTGCAGAGTGGGAGATGGTCCCCAGGCTGGCTTCTTCCCTGGGCTACGGCTTGCCCCCTTCCTTGGCCCCTCAGCCCCACTCAACCTCCATCCCCAGAGCCTTCTTTTCCTTCTTCGTTTTAAAGACAGAACTTCCCATTGAAAAACAAAATGTTGATTTGCGGGTTTTACAGCTAGCAAATCCTCTGTACCAGGGAGTGCAGGACTCTGTGAAGAGCTCAGGCTTGGGCTCAATGCCCAGGACTCAGCTTTGTATCCAGCCAAGAGCCTGGAGACCCAGCCCTCTGAAAGGGCCTTTTCTGGGGTTCCTGGCTGCTCAAATCTGCCTGGTACCTATAATCTGGTTTTTATTTTTATTTTTTGAATATTTTGGGGAGACAACCACCCAGATGACGCATGGCAGCCTGAGTTATGCTTGTTTTAAAATGCATGGGATTCAATAATCCTGCCGGAACACACTCTTCTTGCTGCATTAGGATCCAACTGGAAAGTATAAAGACGAATTGCTGTAGGCTGGAAAATCAATTAGGAAAAAGAGGTAAAACATCTGGTGTTACTCTTAGGATATGAAAATTCATTTTGCACATTTAAAATAAATGTGCTGAGTTCATCTAATTGCCTGTTGAGCTGTTTCATAGAGAATAGTAGGGTGTTTCATTGATCCTGGGCATTTCATAGCAAGGGGCACTGGTGCAGGTTTTCGTTTAATCTTAATTCTAAATAAATCTGGATTGTATTTCTAAATTTTTTTTTCACACATGAGTACTTCTTTAATAGTGTACTTAGAATAGCAGTTTTCAAACTTCAGCATGCACCAGAATGACGTGGAGGAGGGCTGGTGAAAACCCAGATGGCTAGGCCTAGCCCCCAGAGTTTCTGATCCAGTAGGTCTAAGGTGGGGACAAAAAATTTGAATTTCTAGCAAGGTCCTAAGTGATGCTGACACTCCTGGTCTGGGGGCCACACTTTGAGAACTACTGGCTTGACATAAGGGAGACTCCTTGTCCACCCGCAGAGGAGGGAAATCATCTAGTAGGAAAGAAGCTGGAATTCCTCAGATTCGGGGTTCTCTCCCTGCAGTCCAGACTTCCTTACCCCAGAGAGTGCAGCACTTTCCCAGTGATTTCTTTCTAGGACAAACCGAACACACACACACACATACACACACACACACCCCCCTTATCTTCTTTACATTCTTGTGCAAAGGGGTTTTCACGCCCTCCTAGAGATTTATTTCTGCCACTCCTGAATTCAAAATGCAACTGCTCTCTATAATTCATTCAACGTTGGCACCTACTTTGTCAGTGTTGCCGAGATGCAAGTGCAAAGGCAAATAGGGTAAGGCCCTGGGCCTGGTGGGCTTGGCAGTTCCAGGGAATGCATTCGCTAGTACCTTGAACACAGCCTGCTCAAATGGCATTAGGCCCAGGATCCAATAGAAGCCTGGGAAGTTAGGGAGGACTTAATGGAGGAGGGAGCATTGGATCTGAGTCTTAAAGCAGGACCCAGTAATGTGTACCAGATAGGAGATGCAGCTTCTTTGTATTACTAAGGGGCCTGGCCTCTGGGGGATGAAGCTCTTTTGGGTGAGAACTACCTTTTACTTTTAGGCCCTCTGGCATATATTTCTTCAGCGAAGAAAAATGATGTGACCCAGCCGCTGGGTCACACAGAGCCGCTCCTCTGCCCTCGCTGTCCACACACAGGCCAGGAGAGAAGTTTGGTGATGATCGTTTCATTGTTTTCCCTGTGCCTTCCAGGGATGTGGGGCTGAAACAAGGGCGAGCTTTGTGGTAACTGCTCCCGGGAAACATGCAGCCTGGGCTCCAGCCACAAAGGGACCTTGTATTCCAGCCTGTAGGGGGACAGTTCCTCCCCACTTTCCTTGGTCCGTTTTCTTGCCGGAGGGAGCACCTGCACACTCAGGCTGCCCCCCCACCAACTCTCAGAATCCCCTTTCCTGGCTTGAGAGGTAAGCATCTGGAGCACCCAGTTCATTCCTTCCTGCCTATTCTTTTACTTATAAATATTTCCTGTTGAGGGGATCCCTGGGTGGCTCAGCGGTTTAGTGCCTGCCTTTGGCCTGGGTACGATCCTGGAGTCCCTGGATCGAGTCCTGCGTCAGGCTTCCGGCATGGAGCCTGCTTCTCCCCCTGCCTGTGTCTCTGCCTCTCTCTCTCTCTCTCTCATAAATAAATAAATAAATCTTTAAAAAAAAATATTTCCTGTTGACGAAAAGTCTCTCTCTGTGCTTCGCATTATGCCAGGAGCTTAGGACTCAGTAGACAAATAGGCAGGCATCTTCCATCCCCTTCTAGAGCTTTCTGTCTAGCAAGAGGTCTGAACAAGCAATAATAATGATGATGATGAGAGCTAATATTTCTTAGCTCTGCATCAGGTCCTATTCCAAGCCCTTAATTTGTATCGGTTTATGTAATCTCTGTATTAGTTATCTGTTGTTGCATCACGGATTATCTCAAAACTTAGTGGCTCAGAACATTTACTACTCACGGTTTTTATGAGTCAGGAATCCTGGGGATCCCTGGGTGGCGCAGCGGTTTGGTGCCTGCCTTTGGCCCAGGGCGCGATCCTGGAGACGCGGGATCGAATCCCACGTCGGGCTCTCGGTGCACGGAGCCTGCTTCTCCCTCTGCCTGTGTCTCTGCCTCTCTCTCTCTGTGTGTGACTATCATAAATAAATTAAAATATATATATATGAGTCAGGAATCCTGACACGGCTTACTTAGCTGGGTGCTCTGGCTCAGGGTTCCTCCTAAAACTGTAACCAAGGTATTGGCTGGGGCTAGATTTATCTCAAGACTCCCCTGGGGAAGCATCTGCTCTCCAGCACACTTGCTTGGTTGCTGGCAGGATTCAGTTTTTCACTGACTGAGGCCACATTCAGCTCCTTGCCATGTAGGCCTCTCCGTAGGGCAATCACAACATGAAGGTTCGCTCTATCAGAGCAGGTGAGAGAGAAGAGCCAGAGGAAGGGAGAGTAGGGGCAAGACAGGCATCCAAATCTTCTATAATCTAATCTTGGAAGTGACATCCCATTACTTTTGCTGTATTCTATTTATTAGAAGCAAGTAACTGGGTCTAAAGCACACTCGGTGGGAAGACATCACCCCAGGGCATGCACACCAGAAGGTGGGATCCTTGGGAGCCATTTTAGAAGCAGTATACCACAATCTCTTTGACAGTGCTCAGGTAGGTACTGTTTTCCTCACTTCCTGGTGGGATAACTGAGCCATAAGAGGTTAGACAACTTGCTCATGGTCATAGAACTCATACATATTTGAATCCAGGCTGTCTGGGTCCAGGACGACAACCTGACATATATGGTGGAATAACGATTCGAGAAAAATCGCCCTGACTGCCGTGTGGAGGATGGATTAGAGCAGGGAAAGCCAGAGGCAAGTAGGTCAGTGAGGAAGACTTTTTCCTGTTTCAGATAGAGATGAGAAAGCCTGAACCAAGGCACCAACAGGAGGAGAGGGTAGATTGGGAAAGCATCCAGGAGGTAGAAGGTATGGGAATAGGAGTGGGAGGCGCTATGCTGACCACCAGCGTTCTGGCTTGGGTGCCATTGAGGGTGCTGATGCTATAAGTTAAGG